TTTATTCAATGGATTGTGACCAACATGCTCTTTCTTTAGCCGAATCACACAATAATGGTCATTTGCATTTTTGGCAAATGTGAATGACACATATGAACTACATGAGTTGGCCCTGGTTTTGGAAGGACATCCTTTGGATTTTCCAGTTGGGTTATTACATCTTTCACACTTGTATAATATCTGATGGCTACTTGCCTTTCTTAGATTAGTGTACCGACCTATGGCTTCATCGGCAAGGTGATTCAAATGTTTGTTTATAAAATCTTCTTGGGATTCACCATCAAGAAGTACTATTTTACGTTCAATCCCATCTCGTTCTTTCCTCAACCGACCTTCAATAGCTGTTAAAACATCAAGATTCATATCTGAAAATAATCCAAGAAGAAACATCAGCAGCAGACTTACATCACTGGCCATCAGACTTGCATCATAGTGGCAGATAACTATAATATAAGAACAGAGTAGATTATGCTGCCCTAGGGTCAGATAACTACAATATAATTAGAGGGTAAGAAATGTTGCCCTAGGGGCAGATAACTGCAATATAATTACAGAGTAAAATATTCTGCCTAGGGGCAGATAACTACAATATAAAATATTCTGCCCTAGGGGCAGATAACTACAATATAATTAGAGGGTAAGAAATGCTGCCCTAGGGGCAGATAACTGCAATATAATTACAGAGTAAAATATTCTGCCTAGGGGCAGATAACTACAATATAAAATATTCTGCCCTAGGGGCAGATAACTATAATATAAGAACAGAGTAGATTATGCTGCCCTAGGGTCAGATAACTACAATATAATTAGAGGGTAAGAAATGCTGCCCTAGGGGCAGATAACTGCAATATAATTACAGAGTAATATATTCTGCCTAGGGGCAGATAACTACAATATAAAATATTCTGCCCTAGGGGCAGATAACTACAATATAATTAGAGGGTAAGAAATGCTGACCTAGGGGCAGATAACTACAATATAATTACAGAGTAAAATATTCTGCCCTAGGGGCAGATAACTACAATATAATTAGAGGGTAAGAAATGCTGTCCTAGGGGCAGATAACTGCAATATAATTAGAGAGTAAAATATCCTGCCCCAGGGGCAGATAACTACAATATAATTAGAGGGTAAGAAATGCTGCCCTAGGGGCAGAGAACTACAATATAATTACAGAGTAAAATATTCTGCCCTAGGGGCAGATAACTACAATATAATTAGAGGGTAAGAAATGCTGTCCTAGGGGCAGATAACTACAATATAATTAGAGAGTAGAATATTCTGCCCTAGGGGCAGATAACTACAATATAATTAGAGGGTAAGAAATGCTGCCCCAGGGGCAGATAACTGCAATAAAATTAGAGAGTAAAATATCCTGCCCCAGGGGCAGATAACTACAATATAATTAAAGAGTAGAATATTCTGCCCTAGGGGCAGATAACTACAATATAATTACAGAGTAAAATATTC